CAACTTTATATTATAGAAATAAGGCATGCCACAAAAACCCCATAAAAAATGGTTGTTTTGATGCTGGAAAACTCTTTAATTTATCATCTTGACCTTGAGCTCTATGAATATTAAAAAAAGAAAGTACGTCAAGCCTTAAAATAGTACATATTATAACTCATTATTATCGTTGTTATTATTATTACTATTATTATTATTATTATTATTGGTTCGGTGGGATCTGGCCCTTACCCATAGGATTGAAACTTGAGACATAATGCTACTAAAACCCAGCTGCTACCGTCTAGACCCAAGGTCGATTCCTTTATTGTAGCATATTATGTGTATAGTCTATTTCCAAGAATTTAAACTTATAATTAGAGGTGAAAATAAATATTCATGCCATCATAGGCATTTTTGGCATCAAATCACATCTTTCAACAAGTTCTAGAGGAGCAGATTTATTTTTACACTTTAAAGTTAACACGTTATGCAAACCACATCCTTTACGTTATATTAAAAAGGGCGAGAACTGCCTTTTTTCTTGTATGTATTTTCTCATATAGTATAGTAAAAAAAAGGTGAGCACGACTTCTCTTTTCAACTGTATTATGAATAATAAGGGTGACAATGGACCCGGACCCAACCCAGCACCTGAGGGGTAGACTTGATCTAGGTGCGGATATGGGTCAAAAAATTGGACCCAGAGGGTTAGTGTTGAGTGCGTGTGGCCATTAAAGGCCTTATGAGTGCTTGAAATAAATATTTTGATATAATGTAACATGAACTTAGTGGGAGTGTGGTCCTTTGTGTATTATACTCAGCAAATAACATTTGCTGATATCAAACTGAGCTTTACGAACTAGGCCAGTCGGTTGAAAAAAAACCTGTGTTGCCTGGGCATAGAAAACTATCTGATAATGGTTTTAATAGGTCATCCCTTGATGAGGTCGGAGTATGTCCGAATGAGTGAACTGAGGGACTGTGTGGTTTTTGTGTGTGATGATAGCCTTCAGAGACGTAGGCCAAAGCCTCATTCGTGTACCATCACATGGCATGCATATATGATAGTCGTTTCGGGAAAACGAACTACCTTTCAGGGTGAAGCTTATGTATGTACAAGATATACCCCTATGCGCCATATGAGTTGTGGTCGCATCAGATCTACCTGACCTTGGTAGATCTCTAAGGGAGAGCCCAAAATCTACAAACAAGGATTACGACCCCTTGCCCATTGGCTAGACTTTTGTGACCCACTAATGAACCCCTACATGGACTGTGGGTCATGGGCAATGCGGTCAGTTTGAGAAAGAAAGTGTGAATCGTAGTCCACAGTTGAAGGTGGTGTACCCAAGTATTTATTTATTTAATTCATAGGTCATATGGATCATTTTGCCATCTAATGAATTTAATTATGTTTGTTTTAATGATATATGATTTTTAGAATTGTTATTTGAATTTTTTTAGATCTTTGGATATTTCATTTATCAAATTTGGATTTATAAAAACAGAGATGTTGATTTTAGATTGATTTAATTATTTAAATTGAGTTTTATGAATTTCTAAAAATCATATAATATTTTAATTAATTTGATTATTGCATGAGAGGTCGAATAAGCTATATGGGCCCACCATTGCAATGTGGGTGGGCCCCATGAGTTCCACCTAGGGTGGCACGCCCCACTCCAAGGAGCTTTCCATTTTTTGTGAAGATCAAGCTTTGGCTTGAAGATAAAGCTATGTAATGTTTTAGAAAGCCTTTGCCTTGAGGAATTTTTTAATGGATTTTCGGAAAGCATGAGAAGGCTTGTGCAATTATGATTGAAATTAATTTATTTAATTTCTATTGATGGGAAAATAGTTTAGGAAATATGGGATAAAAGTTCTAGCACCTTTCATATGATATTGATGGCCCATTTATAAAATAGATGGCTCAAATCTCTCACCCCACAAGTTACCCAAGATCAATGGTGTATATTCAATCTAAAAAAAAGAGGCAAGCCATAGAAAATACTAAGAATGATCCTATTTTTATACTATAAATACATGACCCTATAGCCATAACTATCTACACCAAAATCTCTCTTCTCTCTCTAAATATTTCTCTCTCTCTCTCTCTC